GGTCACCGATTCCCTGCGCAGAGCTCTGGGGTGGGGGGGGTGGGGGGGGCGCGGCACACGTGTGCTGGGGCTCTGCCTTCTCTTGAGCTACCGGACTGAGCAACTGGGGGTGGGGGGCGCAGGGCTGGGGCCTGGGCCGAGACCACTGAGCACCAAGGCTGAGGGTGACTGGGGGGCTGACCTTCTGCTCGGCTGGAGGTGGGGACGGAGGAAGGAATGGGCCTTTCAGTGATACAGAAGTTAGCTGTGCAGGAAGGAAAAGTGCATTTAAGGTAGCTTACAACAGATTAAGACCAAACTGCCACAGAGAGGGAGGAAGCACAGAGAACACTCCCTCCACCTGCCGTTGGTTGGCCATGCTCCTTGGATTCTGTGGGTTAACATTCATGCTTTCTGATGCGAGTCTGCTCGTGAAGAAACAGGAACACACGTTCTCCTGGTTCTGGCAGGTACACGATTTTCTTGGCAGAGTTCTTTTTTTGCCAAGTTCAGTTTTATTTGGTTCCTGCTCTGAACCGCTGTCACCGGAACTCGTAGATGGGTGCGCTGTGTTCGGGAACGTGAGTTAGGTTGAGTGACTGATACCTGCAATGTGGGAAAAGACAAAACGGGAGGCAGTCTGAGCATCCTGAAAACCAAACAAAGGATGTCCAAAACTCCCTCCCTGCCACCGGAGCGCCTGACGGGCCACCTTCTCGGACCGGAACGCAAATTCACCTCAGATCTCGTCAGCTGAACCGACTCTGGTTTTATTTGTTTCTTTGGTTAATCCTCCCGAATGGGGGTGAGAGGAGCTGTTTTTAGGCCTTTCCCTTTTGCTCTGACCATGAAGCAACCATGGTACGTCTTGTAAAAGGAGAGGCGGAGTACGCTGTGGGAGAGATGCAGACCGAGGCCCCGGGCCTCATCCTCACCTGCCACGCTGCCCGGCCTCCCAACGGCCAGCACCTCAGCTCCCCCGTGTGTCAGGCTGGAGCACCCTCAGGGCTTCGTGGGTAACACAGGCACACCCCACTTCTCATGCAATGCAAACAGGCCATGGAAGAGAGAACTTCCTCGCTAACCGTAAATCTTATTTGACCCTTTGGCTTCGTTTTCTCGCCTCCCTAGACACGGCTATTAGACTTTGAGAACATCAGAGCTCTGACGTGTATGTTTCTGCCCCGTCGGCAGGCTGCTCCGAGGAGCTAAGCAGATGAAAGGGAAACGGCGGCCGGGACAATCCACACAAGGGGATGATAACCCCCAGGGACAATCAGAGCTGATGGGGTAGACGTCAGCTCTCCTCTTACTTGTTTCACAGAGGAGTGAGGAGCAGCACAGGAACAAGCAGTTTATTTCTCAACAACAATAGCAAAGAACAAAACAAAACAAAAATCAAGAAAAGATTATGCATTAGCCATCGGAATATGTGAATCAAAACCACACGACACCTGCAGATGTCGTACGCGCTAGGAGAGCTGTAATTGTAAAGACATCATAACAAGCATTGGGAATGATGTGGAGAAACTGGAGCCCTTGGGCCCTGGTGGGAACGTACCAGGGTGCAGCTGCTCTGGAAAACAGGGAGGTGGTTCCTTAAAAAGTTACAGAATTCCCATATGACCCAGCAATTCCACTCTTAGTATCTGCCCAAAGGAACTGAAAGCCGGGACTCGGATGCGTACACACCCTCACTCACAACAGCATTATTCACAACAGGCAAAAGGTGAAGACGACCCAAGTGCCCAGCAACTGATGAACAGAGAAGGAAAATGTGGTACAGTGGTCCCCCCCTCTTATCTGTGGGGGATACGCTCCGGTACCCCCAGCGGATGCCGAAAACCGTGGATGGTACCGAGCCCCGTACATATGGTATGGTTTTTCCTGCACATACATACCCGTGACAGAGTACAACTTATAAATTAGGCACCGTAAGGGGTTAGCAACAATAACTAGTCAGCAAATAGAACAACTATAACAATATACTGCAATAAAAGTTACGGGAACGTGGGCTCTCTCTCAAAATACCTTATTGTACCGTGAGGATGTGAGATGACGAAATGGGTGCGGGAGGAGACGAAACACGGAATGACAGAGGCGCTGTGATGGGCTGTTAGGCTACCACTGACCTTCTGACACTGTCAGGAGGACGATCGTCTGCTTCTGGGCTACAGCTGACCGCGGGTAACCGAAACCCCGGAAAGCAAAACCGCAGATAAGGAGGGGCTACTGTGGATCCAGACCATGGAAAGTTATTCAGCAATAAAAATGGGGAGTGCTGACACCTGCTGTAACAAGGCTGAAGCTTCAAAGGCCAGACACAAAGGCCACATAGTGTATGGTCCCATTTACATAAAATATCCAGAACGGGCAGATCTACACAGCGAGAAAGTAGATTAGTGGTTGCCTAGGGCCAGGAGGGGATGGGGAGTCGGGTTGATGGTCAAGGGGTACGAGGGTTTCTCCCTGTGGCGATGAGAACGTTTTAAAATTGACTGCAGTCATGGCTGCACAGACCACTGACTTGTGCAGCTTCAATGAGCAAACCAAATAGTGTGTGAATTATCTCAATAAAGCTGTCATTTAAAACAGGATACAACATGTTTTGAAAACTCATTTGAAAACTGAACAACTACTGAAACCCTGAGAGTTGTGGCTCTCAGAGGCGCTGAGACTGCACTGAGCCACGGGCACGTATTTGCAGGTATCACTGTGCTGCCACTGAACAGGGAATTTGAGTCAAGCTGGGGTGGCATCACTTACAAGTCACCGAAGTGTGAAAAATTTGGAAGGGAATGAGGGGTCTCTACATTCAGAGAGGAAATCAGGTATTTTATGATACGGTTCCTTCTTCAGGTACAGCCAGGTGCTTTGAGAAGCAGCGAGGAGGCAGGAGATTCCCCCCAAGAGGTGACAGAAGCTAGCACCTGAGGTGGCATTCAGTCCTTCACCTCAGGTGAGACACAGGGCAGGACCGCCAGCTCCACGGGGGGACCCTAGGTCACCAGACCGAGATCAAGTGCATGTGGGGCCAGCATCTGAGGAATGTGACCACAAAATCGAAAAGGCTGCCGACAGCAAAATTCACCCCAGCAAAATTCATAGTTGGATTTTACATTTTAGTTACCGATTAAATTTGGGAGAAAATACAAAAGCAGCAAGATTGGGAGAAACATTGCTGATAACACAGAACTGCTCGAAAGCTGTCAGCAACGAGTTCCTTTATCTACACTTCACTTTCATCTTGTTTACTCTGCTCCGTGTAGAGGGACAGGAGCCCCTACACCAGCAACTGAGATCGCTTGGAGAGGCCCTCTGCACGCAGACAGAGCATGAAAGCTATGCAGAGACAGGGGAGAGGTCTTCTTTTGGTTTGGCAAGCCAAGGAAGAGCCAGGGGGACAGCAGCAAGCCGCCCCCTGCGCCTCTGGGGTTCCTTACCATTCTGAACTCCTATGGTAATAGTAGCCCTCTATGGAGGCTGCCGACTTCTGGAAGCAGATGTAATAGAACCCAGCAAAGGAAGCACCGCTGATGTCTTTGATCGTATGGTCTGGGACCAGGAACTGTTCCTGCACAGAGACAGAGGAGGTTAGTAACAGACGGTGTGGCCCGGCCACCTCTGGTGTTCCTCGTTAGCCTCCAGGTGCTTCTAAGGTTCCACTGTCAACACGGCCTTGCCCAGACTTGCTGGACAATGGCCAACATGTGCGTTTCAACCCAACCTGCCAATAGCATCTGTGTGTTGCTCGAGTATTCTAGATGCTAACACAGGAGCCTGTGTCTTGAGCTCACTGAGGTCAGCAGTGAAGAGAAGGCCCTATGGTCTACATATCTTGTAAGTGAATCGATACCTACCTACCTTTCAGAGCCCACAGACAGAACCACCCAGGGAGAGAAATTCTCTGCTCCACCCCAGGAACTGGTGCTAGGTTCCTGATCACCTCTAGAACAGCAAGTCACTTCACTCTGAGGGCAGATCACACCCCATAACACCCCCTGAAAAAGCTCTACGCCTCGGCGACAGCCATCAGAACAGCACCTTGGGAAGAGGCAAGCTTGTAATCTCTGGCTAGAGCCAAGCTGAAAGGACCTACTGTCCCAGTAAGATGAAGTCGGTGCTCCCAAGGCCCCAGGAGGTCTCCTGAAGGCCCACAGTGAGTCACCCTGAGAAGTTCTTTTTTTAAGTTTATTTTGAAAGAGAGAGTGGGGGAGGGGAAGAGAGCGAGGGAGAGACAGAATCCTAATCAGGCTCTGCACTGGCCGTGCACAGCCCGATGTGGGGCATGAACTCACAAACCTCGAGATCATGACCTGAGCCAAAATCAAGCCACCCAGGTGCTCAATTCTTTTTTTTTTCCAAAACACTGTCATCTTTTCCTTTCCTAAACCTCTGAATGGTAGTTTTTAAAATTAATTTTAAAATAAGAACTTTGGAGGATACTTCTTCCAACATGTTATTTCACTGGCACACTTCCCACTAGATGGCAAGCTTACAGGGCAGGACCCCGCTCTGACTCTCCACGCCTGGCAAGCGTCCACTCAGAAAGTGATGATCCCCCCCCCCCCCCCCAAAAAATTAGCTATACAAGCTAAAGATTGGGAATCACTGGGGCGCCCGGGTGGATCAGTCAGTTAAGCGACCGACTTTGGCTGAGGTCATGATCTAAATGGTCATCTTTCGTTGAGCCCTAATGAGGGCTCTGTGTTGACAGCTCAGAGCCTGGAGCCTGCTTTGGATTCTTCATCTCACTCTCTCTCTGTCCCTTCCACGCTCGCTCGCGTGCTCTCTCTCTCTCTCTCTCTAAAAAATAAATACTAAAAAAAAAAAAAAAAAAAAGATTGGGAATCACTACTCTAAATGATTGGCTTTTCGGAAAGCTGGCGAGATTTCAAGACAAAACGGCTTTTCCCCGCAGATTGGGGACCAGGGGTTGGAAGTGGGTGTCCGTTCACACAGTGATTTCACAAACTGGCTTCATGATTGTGCTATCCTGGAGCTGGAACACAGTAAATACCATGCTATCAAAACAGGGAACACAAAAGCCTTGTCAGCCCCAAAGCCAATCTATCGAGTCCAGCCAGATGCAGTTCTCTGAGGGCTGGTGAGTGGAAAACCCAAATTCCATTCCTGGTCCCTCATTTCCTGAGCTGGAGGGAACCAGACAAGCGGAGACAGCACCGAGCCTTCAGCAAGGACGTGGTGAGGGAGCGGTCCCTTAAGGGGGTGTCGCACTGTCGCAGCCTGTGGCTGAGAACCGGAGGTGATGGGTGACTGACTTTGGTTGTCCCCTGAATCCACAGGACACTTGGGAGGACTCCACCTGGACGGTCAAAGGTACCGAGGGGGACCACCCCCTAGCCACGAATTCGTCAGCTGACCACCAAACAGTTTAACCAAAGAGAAACCATCTGGGAGGGCAGCAGTCTGCCAGAGTGGCCTGGAGCTGTGCCCGCTTTCCGTGAGCGTTAAAGGCACCGCATGAGGACAGGGCAGACGGGGCGGTGGGTCCAATGCAGGCACTGGCACAGCCAGAAGACCGCCTGGGGTGGGGCCTTACCTTCCACCTCATGAAGACATAATCTCCATTCTTCAGCTCTTCGTAATCAAAGTCATCTGAATTAAATGATTTTGCATACTGATAAAAAGCCAGAAACTTGCCCTGAAAGCAAAAGACACAGCATGAGAACTGATCTACGGAGGGAGAGGCTGGTGTCAGAACGACCCTTCTGTGTCCGGCGGCGACTGCCTTTGCAAACGCGTGCCAGTTGCTGGAGGTGGCCTGACCAGAGCAGCAAAGGCCGAGGCCTGGAAGGGGAGCCCAAGGTCCCCACCAGTGACCTCAGAGCTGGACTCCAGCTGAGGCATCATGGGACTACGCCTGCCTAGTTCATGTTGTCCGAGAAAAGGCCCCGGGTTGGGAATGGATGCTATTCTGGGGGCCCGTTCTCAGGACACTTTTGCACAAAGCCAGGAATGACTAGTGACATCTCTGTAAGGGAGTCAACAGTAGCAACAAGAGTCATGCAGAACAACTGAGAGCCAGCATGTCTCACCGAAGGGGGAGAGAGGGCTTACTACAGTGGGGTTCTCTGACAGAGTAGAGTGGCTTGGGGCCAGCTAGTGAAGAAGAAACAGGAAGTGGGTAATATACGATTAATTTCTTTTAAAAAAGGAGACCAGATGGACTTCAAGATGTATACAAAGCGGTTATCATCAAGGCAGTATGGGACTGGCACAAACACAGACACTCAGATCAAAGGAACAGAATAGAGAACCCAGAAATGGACCCACAAACCTATGGCCAACTCATCTTTGACAAAGCAGGAAAGAATATCCAATGGAACAAAGACAGTTTCTTCAGCAAGTGTTGCTGGGAAAACTGGAAAGCGACATGCAGGAGAATGAACCTGGACCACCATACACAAAAATAAACTCAAAATGGATGAAAGACCTAAACGTAAGGCAGGAAGCCATCAAAATCCTCAAGGAGAAAGCAGGCAAAAACCTCTCTGATCTTGGCCGCAGCAACTTCTTACTCAACACGTCTCCGGAGGCAAGGGAAACAAAAGCAAAAATGAACTATTGGGACCTCATCAAAATAAAAAGCACAGCGAAGGAAACAATCAGCAAAACTAAAAGGCAACCGACAGAATGGGAGAAGATATTCGCAAATGACACATCAGATAAAGGGTTAACTCAACACTCAAAAAACAAATAACCCAGCAAAGAAATGGGCAAAAGACATGAACAGACACTTCTCCAAAGATATCTGGATGGCCAACCGACACATGAAAAAATGCTTAAAATCACTCGTCATCAGGAAAATACAAATGAAAACCACGATGAGATACCACCTCACACCTATAAGAATGGCTAACATTAACAACTCAGGCAACAACAGATGTTGGCGAGGATGCAGAGAAAGAGGATCTCTTTTGCACTGCTGGTGGGAATGCAAACTGGTGCAGCCACACTGGAAAACAGTACGGAGGTTCCTCAAAAATTTAAAAACAGAGCTACTCTATGACCCAGCAATTGCACTACTAGGCATTTATCCAAGGGATACAGGTATGCTGTTTCGAAGGGACACATGCACCCCAATGTTTATATAGCAGCACTATCAACGATAGCCAAAGTATGGAAAGAGCCCAAATGTCCATTGATGGATGAATGGATAAAGAAGATGTGGTATGTATATACAATGGAGTATTACTGGGCAATCAGAAAGAATGAAATCTTGCCATTTGCAACTACATGGAGGGAACTAGAGAGTATTACGCTAAGCGAAATTAGAGAAAGACAAATATATGACTTCACTCGTA